AGAGAGAGAGAGAGAGAGAGAGAGAGAGAGAGAGAGAGCTTTTAATCAATTAGTATTTTATAATGTTATAGGATATATTGTTTCTATTTTTGGATGTCAATTTTCACAATTCTTTTTATAATGCTTTATAATTTGATTACAGCAAATTGTTTATCAGGGGTTGTTTTGTTAAATCTGACATTGTGACATTGACATCATTGTGACATTGTAAATCATAAACTGTTCATAATGATAATTTTAATGATTTTCTATTCGTTTTTTTTACATTTTGAAATTATTTTTATCCATGATTACACATTTCATAATTTATTCTATAATGGATTTCTCAATTTCTCAAATGATTAATAAGTGGCACACATTTGCCCCCATATTATTGAGGCCTGCATTATATAGATATCTTTTCTTTTTTAAAGTTGGAAATAAGATGCATCTTTACTAATGTTAAACTTTCCAGACTTTTACACACTACTAATACCAGTAAAAGCATGTCTGATCAATTACTCAACAATATGCAACTATGCAATATAGAATATCCATATATCTCCACATTGACAAACCTCAACGTTGCCCATGACCTTCCTCCGTGACACTGCCCTAGACAGCGGGGATCTGTGTCATTCAGAGGAAAATGTGTTGACCTGAGGATTATGTCTGGTGTCCGTGTCTCAGACGCAGACCTTGGAATTGGCAGTAATCCTCCAGAGGGCACCCTCATCACCCCGATCATGATCCTCAACACCTCCATCACCTAAATAAGAGAACAATGACATCCAGCTGCTTTAGGATTCATTACGGACTAATGTGGGAACACATACTTAATATAAAACATTTTGCAACTTATTGAATATAAAACAGATAGTTCCAGATGTGGATGCTGCTTGGCAGACGGATCTCAAAGGTCACTTCTCTTTCATCAAACTTGGTTCCAGATGTATTTTAATCATTTCCTCATCACATAATCTTTAGATAAAAGTTCTAAGCCATAATAGATCAGACATAAAACAGTACATATGAAGTGTACTACATCAATCACAATGGTCTCAAGTGTTTAAAATGAATTGTTTCTGAAATGCGTTTGTCTCTTTTGCAGGACGGTTATATAGACTTCATGGAGTATGTGGCCGCTCTCAGTCTTGTAATGAGAGGCAAGATGGAGCACAAACTGCGCTGGTATTTCAGACTTTATGATGTTGATGGCAACGGCTGCATAGACAGACACGAGCTCCTCAATATCATAAAGGTAGGAATAACTGCACTAGATGGCTATGAAAAGAAAAGGTAAATTCATAATAAAAATGGTTTCTTTTACATTAGGCCATCCGTGCCATAAATGGAAGTGAGTCGCAGGAATTGAGTGCTGAGGAGTTCACAAACCGAGTGTTTGATAGGATCGACATCAATGGAGATGGTGAGTGCAAAAACAATTGGAATAAGATTCTAATCTTAAGAACCATATTCAATCTTTAAAAGAGTATGATAATGATTTGCCTGTCCATAATCGCTAACCGTTCTCCATTCAACAGGGTAGCTGTCGCTGGAGGAGTTTGTAGCAGGGGCACGTAGTGATGAAGAATTTATGGAGGTGATGATGAAGAGTTCAGATCTTTCGCACATTGTGGCCATGATCCATAACCGGAGACACAGCGTCTAAGAGACAGTCCACGGTCATATATGCCACTTACAGTTCTCCTTTAGAGTCTCTTGATCAGAAAACAAGAGCAACACTCAACTGTCTAATTCTGAAAGCACTTTAAAGCACAGTCACTTCAAACAGAGCTAAAGGGGCCAAGAAACGAAATTGGTGTGGGACGTCCCACAACTGTTTCCCAAAAACAGCCTTCTTGCTAAGCAGAAAGAGGCTTCATGGGAAAAGAATCAGTATCAGTTTTATTTTTTGTTACTTTATTATTAACAAAAAAAGATGTAACATTTTAAAAAATATATATATTTATGCATCACTTGTATTAGATGCCTCAGAGAAAGACATTTCTAAATATTTGACTAATAAGTGGATAACAAATACATTTGTTCAAAAGTTTGAGGCCCTCAAGGCTGCATAACTGGATTAAAAAAAATACATTAATAAAAACAGTATTATTGTGAAATATTATTGCAATTCAAAATAATGTTTTTGTTTGAATATAGTTTAAAATGTGATTTATTCTTGTCATGTCAAAACTGAATTTTCAGCAGCCGATACTGCAGGCTCCAGTTATATCATCAATGCTAAAAACAGTTATGCTGCTAAATATTTTCGAGAACATACAGAAGAACAGCATTTATTTCAATTAGAAATATTTTGTAACAATTTTAAAGTCAGTTTGGATCGATTTAATGAGTCCTTTCTCAAAATAAAACAAAATTACTTTTGAACAACAGTGTTTGTCCATTTTTGCAATTTAGTTTAAATAATTTTTTTTATGAATGTTCAAGGTTAGTTGATATTTTTGGTACTATAAATGGGCACAATTGTTAATAATTCCATATTTTTTAACTGCATTTTAAAATTATTCTCCAGTCTGATTTAGCGTCTCAATTAATATAAGGATAATAAAAATGACCTCATATTAACTGAATTTCATTTGTTAATACGCATTTGTTAAAACAGTCTTCAGTTAAGTATTCTACTGCATGTCAAACTCTGTAAAGTCAGGAATGTTTACTTCTTTATGGATATATGCATACTATATTTACTAATATTGCATATTATCTTAGCCTCTGCAGGGTTTAAAAATGAAATTGGCTTGTTCTGTATTCGCATAGACATGTTATAAGGGTGCCTTCTGTTGTAGGACTACAGGGCCTACTTTAAGCTTGTTAATGAAATGCTTGTGCTTCCATTTGGACATTAAAAACATCATAACTGAAATCGTTATAAGTTCATGCATGTATTAACTAACCAAAATGAACCTTTGCCCTTGTGTCTCTAGCCTCCATCTTCCATTCAAACTACACTCAGTGTGTGAGAAAACACATGAGTCACATTTGGAGCCTTTTTAAACTGTGGTCCCTCAGTTTCTATGACAACCCCAATCTGTTACCATGGAGACCTTGTGAGTCAGACGCAGCATCAGTAACCTCTGAAAAGCTGAATTAACAGACCGCTATAATAAAAGCCTAAATTTCAATGAATCACTTACACTCCATTGCACACACTGCTCCTTTCTCCCAGATCCTCATTTAGTGGTTGTTCTGGGTTGTGTTTGTCTTCATCTGAGAGGGTGATTGGTATTCATGCCAGCTTTGCCATCTTGTTGCAAAAGGATAAGGAGGTCAGTCCTCTGAGCTGAGCTACTCTTCTGCAAAGGAGCCAAATAACACAAAACATATTTGTAATATCTCATTCATTTAAATGTGGTTGAACGGACATGTGCAACTGTGATATTACCATGAAGCCCGGGAGGGATGTTATGCCAGCCATCATGCTGCAAAAACACTGCATGAACATGGGAATAACGCCTAAAACGTATAAATGAATTGTTGTTTAATACAGTCAATTAGTATTAAAGCTTGTACCTGGTCCCTGGTACACTTTGGTTTTTAATACACTTTGAGCAGAGCACACATATTATGATGCACCAAACTACCTTAAAGGCAGGGTATGTGATTTTTCAAAAACACTTTAGAAAACTGATTCGGGCCGAATAGCAAAACAAACTTGTAGCCAATCAGCAATAAGGGGCGTGTCTACTCGTGATGTGGAGGACAGCGCGTTCAGTGCATGGGACGGACATTAGCCGAGCCGAGCGACAGAAAGATAGAGATGGCAGATAAAAAAACAAAAGAGGAAAACGTCTGCAGAACGATAAGGCAAGAAGTAGGACCCATGTAAATATCGGATCAGCTTTCCAGCGCTGGAGAGAACTCAAGGAGCGGAGGCCTGCGATCGGACGCCGAGGTTGCTTTGTTTCTTCTCAATAGGTGAGTAACACCTTGTCTACAACAGCTAAAGTCTGCCTACACTGGACGCGATCAAACGACCGTTGAAAACCATTTGAAATTTGTGTCAGCACGTCATAAATAGAACCCGGCAGCAGTTTTCTGTCGGGGATTTGTTGCGCCGCACCGCGCCGCTCACGTCCGTAGACACGGTGTAACATTGGTTTTGCTTTGTTTCACAGAACTAAAAAAAAACAACAACTCAAGATTCTAAATTTGTTAAGGCCTGGAAGTCACAATTTTAAAATGGATAATTAGATATTATTCAATATATGAAGTTTATTTGCAAAAACAGATTAATTTTCGTAAATCATGTTTTTTATTGTGTTATCATATTTTTATTGTGTTTTATTATGTTAGTTAGCTGTATTTGTTTTTTTCATTATTATTATTATTTAATCAAAACCACCCAACTGCAGTTTGATTGATATGAATTGGAATGCAGGATAAAAAAATAATAAAAAACATGATTTTTGAAAATTTTTAAAAACGGAGTTATCTGTTTTTGCAAAGGAACTCTTCATATGCTGTTCATTTATCAAGGAAAACGTATTACTTTTGACAAAAAAAAAAAAAAAAAAAAAAAAAAAAAAAAAAAAAAAAAAAAAAAAAAAAAAAAAAAAAAAAAAAAAAAAAAAAAAAAAAAAAAAAAAAAAAAAAAAAAAAAAAAAAAAAAAAAAAAAAAAAAAAAAAAAAAATTTAAAAAAAAAAAAAAAAAAAAAAAAAAAAAAAAAGATGAAACACTGCCACCCAGTGTCCAAAATTCCAAGATTTGCTGGTGCTGCCACATTGTACATAAATCATGTTTTATTGCCTTATATAAGCTAATTAAAATGAATGGCATAGTTTGTTATTATTTGCCAAACCTCATCATTTGATAAATTAAATGACCTGTGAGAAGATACTGGCTATAGTTTTAACTCTGCTATCAACCACACTGTAGAATATGGCCAACAGTCTGTCAAAGAGGAAAAGGCTTCGGTCCCAATAGATGGTTACTAGTCTGCAGCAAAACGACAAAACAGAGGGAAAAAAATATATATAGATGACGTTACTAAACCTGCAGGAAGAACAGTGATGAACAATAAGCAACAGTAGCAACTTCTCACCTTCTCATGTTTCTTCAAGAAATTAGTCTCTCTTATTTTCCCGTGACTCTGAAGCAAAGACAAGCCTTTTTTTTAGTGATCACATAATTCACAAAGGTGCAGTCATGATTCAGTAAGATCTCGTGATAGTATGTAGATAATAAAGAAAAGATCAGAATGCTCCAATACACCTTGAGGAAGAAGCGGCGATCTGTGCGAGCAGGGTTTAAGGAAGCCAGGTAAGCAGCAATCAGAAGAAACTTGGAATAATACGGCAGCTCTATGTGAGCATGTGCTGATAAACCTACAGAAGGAGGAAAAGACTTCTCACTGGATGATATTAGTAAAGGAAATGGATTTCCAAAGATACAGATAAAATAAAAAATGACCGTCTACAAACTGATTCCGTTTGCTATTAACTTTTTTTAAAATTAAGATTTATTAAATGTTTAAGTAGATTTATATCTACTTGTAAAAAATACTGTAGTAACAACATTACAGGTTAATTTTTAATTTTAGATAATGCTTTAAGTATTATGGACTATCAATTAACTTATGATTACTTATTATGGAAATAATATAATTTGTGTAGGCTATATACTATGAATATACATTCAGTGTGACGCTTATTTGCATGTTATTTAAAATTCAATTAAAATGCATAACAGTTTAAATTCATTTCAAATGTAACTTTAGAGTGCTTTTTGACCCACCTAAGTATATCTTTATATATAAATTCATAATTCTACTGTCCTTGAAATATGGGTAAGTGTACTGCAGAACTGACAAGCATTTATGCTAAACTAAAATATACTTTAATGTAATTTCTATTGAAACCTGTAATTAATTTACTTAAATATGTGTAATTACACATTTGTAATGATGAAATTGCAATTTAGTACATCTAAAATATATTAATATAGAATAACATGACAGTTATTATAATCAAGTACTTTTAGTGTTTGGTGATATCCTTTTTATAACTACAGTATAACAAAGTGCATTTTAAGTGTAATTAAGTGTACGAAACGTGATAAAAGTCATAAAAGTGTACTCTTTAAATACACTTATGTGACCTTACATTTAATTAATATTACATTATCAGCAAATACACCTTTTTATTATACTTTCAATATGCAATTAAGATCGAATCAAACACACTTATTTTTTATAAGGGTTGTTCAAATCCCTAACCATTAGTATAATAACAACAACAACAACAACAACAATGCAGATGATACTGGCCTTAACAAACACACCACTATCAAATTATTGTGAAATATGACTCATCAGGGCAGCCCATCAGCTTATGTGTGGTCAGAGGGTCGATATATGTAGAAATCTTGGCAGTCTATCCTAGAAAAGCGCTGGACCCAGTTTTTAGCAGCCCTATCCACTGCCAGCAGATGGTCCATGAGGGCATGACTGAGGCCCTGAGACTAAGGCCTGTCTGAACACAAAGAGTGCGTGTGTCTGTCTGTGTACCTCTGAGGGTCGTGGCCTTCTTGTCCATCTGCTGCTGCTCCCATTGCATGCTGATTGAAATAAACCAGAACACACAAACACTCAGAGACTGATGTGACACACAGCTCAAGCACTCAGAAATCACACAGCACTAACAGACCTAGACACCTCTCGGAGGTAAACCTTCTGCATGGCTCTCTGCAGATGGGGCTCAATGTTTTTCCATAACTTGTGAATATCACTCTCTTTGGCTGAAGGAAGCAAGAAAAGATTTCAAACACCGTACTGACACAAAAAAAAAGGAGTTTATTATATTTAAAGGGGTCATATGATGCGATTTCAATTTTTCCTTTCTCTTTGGAGCGTTACAAGCTCTTGGTGCATAAAGAAGATCTGTAAAGTTGCAAAGACTAAAGTCTCAAATCCAAAGAGATATTCTTTATAAAAGTTAAGACAACCATGCCTACCTAAAACGGCTCTTTCTAACACGCCCCCACATATCTACGTCACTATGTGGGAAGATTTGCATAACGCCGCCCAAATGTTCACGCAAAGAAAGAAGGCGTAACTTTTATTCTCGCTGTAGTATTGCGAATCCGCCGGCCGCGCCGTTCTCAAGCCCGCCTGCCGTCGCTCACTCTAGAAAATGGCATATGGATCAGATCAGGAAAACTGCTGGACTACCTTAAAGCAATAGCTCCCCCCAAAATGAAAATTTACTCAGCTTTTGAATATATATAGATAAATTAGTTTTTTTTCATCAGAACAGATATGGAGAAATTTAGCATTACATTACTTGCTCACCAATGGATCCACTGCAGTGAATGGGTGCCGTCATGAGAGTCCAAACAGCTGATAAAATCACAATAATCCACAAGTAATCCACACAATGCGAGAAGACAATAGTCAACGGACCTTTTCCCTGTAGGAAGCGTTATTATGGATTATGAGCTGGTGTTTTGGCTAAAAGTGATGATTTAAAGTTAAAACGCCTTAATGCTACATTTGTTTCTTACAAACGTGCATCTTCTGCCTTCACAAGACATTAATTGCACTGGAGTCATGTCAATTGCTTGTTGATTATTGTGATGTTTTAATCAGCTATTTGGCCTCTCATTCTGACGGCACCCATTCACTGCAGATGATCAAACTTTTAAAAATAATACAGACTGCAGAGGCTCAAATTTGTTCAACATAATATAAATACAGATTTCAGACAATGTGAGGGTGAACAGATTATAGAATTTACATTTCTGTGTACACTATGCCTTTAAACGGAAAAATTAAGTATAAGTATTGCTCAGTTGTGTTTAAATATTTTACCTTCTCCTTTCTCCAAGGGTTCACAGAACTTGGAGAAATTCAGGGCAGCCTGTTTAAATGAAATTTTAAACAGTGCATTTTAGTATATTTAGCATTTTAGTACCTCCTAATTTATTGTGTCTTCATAAAGCTGGTGAGAAGCAAAAACACTTTCCACTGGTTTATGAGCATCTGCTACATCATAAAAACTACTATGATAACAGAAAACAGCTGTTTGTTGTGGTAGACTCAGATAGTTTAAAGGCAAGTATGATCTCACCAGGTGCCTGAGCTCTCTCAGATGCATACTGAGAAGAAGACCCCCAGCAGGATGTTTATGTAGGAAGCGTAGAGCTCAGGTGTGTAGGATGGGTGATGATCCCGAGACAGAATCTGCGCAAGCTCCGCTGAGAGATCAGAAAAAAGGATTTTAGACACATTTCATACATCCATTCAAGTATTAAATATCCTCGGCCCCGTTTGCACCCGGTATTAACGCTCATCTCAGGTGAGAGCCTCTGATTTTGTGATTGTGTTACTGTATGTTGAAAAGATTCTAAAAAGTGTTGACAAATGCACTAGAATTTTAATCTCATCACAAAATGTGATCCAGCAGAATAATCATTGTTATATAAAACGTTGGGACACTGACAAATTTGATCTTCACTCATATTTACAAGACCTCACTGGTCAGTTTGTGCTGCAATTATATAATAAATAAAAAGCTCTTTATTACATAATCAAAATCTGTTATTTGATACCCATCATTCACTGTGATGGTCTTACCCTCTTACCTTTACTGTAGTCTGGAAAATTAAAGAGAAGAGGTTCAAAGCAGCCAGTGTTGGGCCGAAACTTTTCCCACACAATTTCGCTGAGCAAGATAACTGTCACATACATTATCATTTACCTGTCAAAGAGTGTAAAAATTATAAATGGATTATATGTATAAAGCTATTCTCCAATATATAACAATGACTATTAAAGGGGTCATATGATGCTGCTAAAAAGAACATTATTTGGTGTATTTGGTGTAATGAAATGTGTTCATGAGGTTTAAGGTTCAAAAAACAAATTTTCCACACAAGCCGTTTTAGGTAGGCGTGGTTGACTCTTAACTTTTATAAAGAATCTCTCTTTGGATTTGAGACTTTAGTCTTTGCAACTTTACAGATCTTCTTTATGCACCAAGAGCTTGTAACACTCCAAAGAGAAAGGAAAAATTGAAATCGCATCATATGACCCCTTTAACAAGTAAAGTCTCCACAAAATCTCAAGTCTTTCTCAATGAAGAAAAGAGAATTTGCTTATCAGACATAAAAGTATATAAAGAACAGGTATTCTACTTGATGCAGTAAAACATTAGTTAAACTGAGCACATACCAATTCCTGTAGGCGCAGAAGAGCATGAAGCAGACTGAAATCCATATCTCTCATGCATTGAGCTCTGTCCAGAATCTACAGGGACATTATATGAGATTGTCACATAACCTGCACAGACATAGCATTCTGACTAAACTCCAAACATATTATTTAATCAATATTATACTATATATGATATGCTAAATAAACTCACTATATAACGTGTCTGAGTGGCAGGTGAGTTGGAGCTCATCTGTTTGTACAGTCGCACAATATCTGACAAAGACGGGCAACGGGGAAGCAATGCTGCAGCATCGGCCCCAAAAAAGGCAGACAACACCTGGTGAAAGAGAAGCCCACTGGACACACACTCAACACAGTCCACCGACGCATGGGGGAGCTGAAACACACACACACACACACACAATAACAAAACTACAGTCAATGTCTTACTTATTTTACATTTAGTATACACTTTTACTCAAAGCAACTTTCAATACACTTACTACAGCAATAATTCTTCAGAAGAAATCTGAATTCACACTGGTATTAAAACAAGATTTTCAATCACTACTGCAATCACTTTTAAAGGCTGGAATACACTAAAGTCTTTTAAAACTCAAGGTATCATACACTTGCCTACTTTGTAAATGGTTACAGAGAAAAACTAGTCTTCATAAACTACATGACTAAAGATCCACACACTACCCGTTGTTCCAAACACAACAAACACATGCAGAAACATGTGCCTCCTTTCTAGAAATCACGACAAGTGAAAATAATGTATGTTTAATAATACATGTTTGATATCCTCAGACTGGATAGATTAATAGTCTGGAGTCTGTGTCCATCATTCACTATGAAATTTTCAGTGACAAACTGCACAAAAGCTGCTCTTTGCAACTTTACAGATCTTCTTTATGCACCAAGAGCTTGTAACACTCCAAAGAGAAAGGAAAAATTGAAATCGCATCATATGACCCCTTTAACAAGTAAAGTCTCCACAAAATCTCAAGTCTTTCTCAATGAAGAAAAGAGAATTTGCTTATCAGACATAAAAGTATATAAAGAACAGGTATTCTACTTGATGCAGTAAAACATTAGTTAAACTGAGCACATACCAATTCCTGTAGGCGCAGAAGAGCATGAAGCAGACTGAAATCCATATCTCTCATGCATTGAGCTCTGTCCAGAATCTACAGGGACATTATATGAGATTGTCACATAACCTGCACAGACATAGCATTCTGACTAAACTCCAAACATATTATTTAATCAATATTATACTATATATGATATGCTAAATAAACTCACTATATAACGTGTCTGAGTGGCAGGTGAGTTGGAGCTCATCTGTTTGTACAGTCGCACAATATCTGACAAAGACGGGCAACGGGGAAGCAATGCTGCAGCATCGGCCCCAAAAAAGGCAGACAACACCTGGTGAAAGAGAAGCCCACTGGACACACACTCAACACAGTCCACCGACGCATGGGGGAGCTGAAACACACACACACACATACACAATAACAAAACTACAGTCAATGTCTTACTTATTTTACATTTAGTATACACTTTTACTCAAAGCAACTTTCAATACACTTACTACAGCAATAATTCTTCAGAAGAAATCTGAATTCACACTGGTATTAAAACAAGATTTTCAATCACTACTGCAATCACTTCTCAAGGTATCTCAAGGTATCATACACTTGCCTACTTTGTAAATGGTTACAGAGAAAAACTAGTCTTCATAAACTACATGACTAAAGATCCACACACTACCCGTTGTTCCAAACACAACAAACACATGCAGAAACATGTGCCTCCTTTCTAGAAATCACGACAAGTGAAAATAATGTATGTTTAATAATACATGTTTGATATCCTCAGACTGGATAGATTAATAGTCTGGAGTCTGTGTCCATCATTCACTATGAAATTTTCAGTGACAAACTGCACAAAAGCTGCAGACTGGGTCTGACTTTCACCAACTACTGCTGACTCTTCAAACTGTAAATTGGGGCAAAAGTTGTGTAGTGCATGCCATAAATAAACACTTTTACAGGTTTTATAAACCACAATCCGTAAACGGTGATTGAGTGCCGCACAACTTGGCTGTAATGTGATTGGTTATTAAGGCACACGTGATCCAAGTTGACCGTTACGCTTTCTCCAATAGGAAGTAATACAGACCCTCTCATCTCCCTATAGAAACCCCTTGCCCAAATACCCACACTTGCGGTCTTGGCCACTTGAGAGCGCAAGCGGGCGACAGGAAGTAAGTGCGCAAGACTGTCCCAAGTCTTCAAAACGCCAAAGCGCAATGCCCTTAAAGCACACTAAATCCACATTATCTCGAATATTGCTCCGGAGCGCTATTCGAGGCTTAGTGTATCCCATCATGCATCATGTTCTGGAAATAAATCATGAGACTTTTCGCCGAGATCTCGCAAAAGGTCACGGAAACCTTTCCAATGCAAGTTAAAGATTAATATAACAGGCTAATTAGATATTTTATAATTTGGTAGAAAAACAAAGTGTTGCACGTTTTATTGGTGCAAAGATTTGCACCAATAAAAACATTTGCAACTGCTTTTTATCACTTAATCAGAAGCACCAAAAATTAATTTGTGTCATCTGTTATAGGGACTACTGAACAGACATTTAGAAGCTGATTTTAAAATGCAAAGTATTTAAAACAAAATGAAGCTATCTAAACGCTTGCGTTTTTACAACGCTATAAGTGTGTCCCATCAAGTAATGAAAAGTTCGACACACACTTGTGGTCTTCATGCTCACTTGAACACTTGACCCA